ATCAGCGTGGGATCAGCCTGGGCTCTCCGGGGAACGAGGGGCTCGGGAGAGGGAGATGAGGAGCCCGAAGGGGGAAGCCAAATGCAGATAAGTGACCGACACACCGTGCGACGGAAAGCGCGGCAGGTCCCCGTGCTCGGCAGGGCCACCGACGGGAAGGACAGGCTCTGCTCGGCAGCTCTCCGAGGAGGAGAAGGAGGAGGCTGGAAATCAGAGCAACCCTTGTATCTCTGCCTGCGAGCAGGCACCTGGATGGAGCTCCGCAGGTGGATTTCCAAGCCCATCCGGAACAGGCTCTTTTCTGTCCTTTTCCCAGAATTAAGGTCTCTGCTGCAATGCAATAACTCTAAAGCAGCAGGATTTGACTGTGGGGTGATAGTGGTCTAAACGAGGGCAGGAAACAGATTCATCCCTCTCAGAGAACAGGTTTGTCTGCACAACAACTCAACCCAAAAGCATAAGATCCTTCCCATGAGCTTGAACTGCTGTGGAGCTGAGAACAAACTACTTTGGCACAGGAATCCTCAACAAAAAACCCCCAGCTCCCACCCCCTGACACAGACACAGAGATGAGGCAAGGGTGGAAAAGTGCATGCATTTCAAACAGAAGCATGAAAAATCAGAAATACTGACCTTAAAGCTCCAGTAGTTGGGTTGCTAACAAAAAATAAAACAACAAAACAAAAGAAAACAAAAAACACCATTAAGATTCTGGTTTGACTTTTGTTTTCCTTTTGAGAATTGTTGACTTTAAACTGCAACATTAAACCTGCTCTCGTTTCTGCTTAAAGTCCCCTCCCAAGGGGTTGCTTAAGTTTCACGCTGCTAAGGGCTGGCAAAGGGGAAGCAGGATCATGCAAGCAGGCAGGGACCGCAATGGGTATTGAATGCAGAGCGGGGTGCAAGGTAACTGAAGCGGCGCGAAGGGGGGAGCAGGACAGCAGCCCAGCATCACTGCTGGAGTCACCCGTATGCCCACACCACCCCAGCACGTGCTGGTCAGGCTGCTGCCCTGGGAGTTGGTGCTGGAAGCCAGAATCATTTTCATTTTTTAAAGGGATCTTCCAACCCCCCCTCTTTGCTCCTGCTACCTCCCTCTATTGCTTCTTCGCAGCATCTCCACCGGTGTCAAGCCAATGTGCTACAGCGAATGACAGACACTGGCATCATTTACAGCCCAGCAAGCTGGAGAGCTTGGGAGCTTTCTTCTCCCAAGCCACCCACTGATAATCACCAGTGGGAGATTGCACCGAAAGTCCCGAGGATGCTCGGAGCTGCGGTTCACCACAATACCCACCGTCGGGCAGCGGAGCGGTGCGTGGGTTAGAGACTTGGGCCCCCCTCCCTGGGCAGCACCAGGCTCACACAACCAGGACGGGGCTGCAGGAGCCCAGCAAGTCCTCAGAGGACAACACGGGGACTGAGAGCGTACCAGGACCGAGCACCCCCAGCACACTGTGCCACCGGACGGGGACAGGCGAGCTCCCCGCTGCTGCGGGCGAAGCAAACCACTTCAGAGCAGGGCACGCGCTTGGCACAGCAGCATCGCGAGCAGCTTCACCCCGGCCCCGGGACCGGTCCCCTAATGCCTGCACAGCCCAGCCCGGGCAGCAGCACCCCGGCTCCAGCGGTACCCTGAGACTGTGTTTGAGGAGGCAGCGTACCCAGCAAGAGGGAAGTTAGAGCTGGTGACAAGAAGTGTGATCCACCTTGCTGGAAGGGGAAGCATTTTGGTATCACCAAGACGTGCAGCTGATGGGTGGGGTGGGAGAAATGGGTGCAGAGCAGCTTTTGTCCCAACGGTCTTTTCATTTGGATCAAAGTTCTTGACTGTTCTTTTCTCCCCTTTCACACCCACCTATCACCTTGCTTTTTTACAGCATTTATTTCCCCACCACAATCACTGTGGCTGCAAACCTAGTTTGTTACTTAGAGTATTATTATTATTATTATTATAATAAATAGAAAGCAAGCTCCCACACCAAGCTCCCAGTCCCCATCAGTCCCTACGATGCCCGGTGGCTGCCATGGAGTCTCCTACCGCAGTGCTCTGGGAGCAGGGAAAGAAGTTGCAACCAATGGTGGTCTAACGTTAGACCATCACGGAGTATTTATCCAAGGACTTTAACAATCCACCAGCAGATTTGCTGCTGGGGTATTAACCCTTCTGCTGACAAGGTAAACAGAGGCCTAGGCTATGTGTATAAACACAAATTCACTTGTTAGACTCATCTCAAGCATCAGTAGGATGCTCTTATTCCAATTCAAGATGCAGTCCACATTAATATTCCATAAGACATCAGTAGACCCAGACCAAGTTCTGCCTCCACCAAACCAAAACTGTTTTAAAAGTGATTTAAGTCAAACGAGCGCAGTGTTTTCATGCAGACAAGCCTCAAGGCACAAAGGTCTTTTCCAAGGGCACACCATGACTCAAGCAGAACCCGAAATAGAAGTCCAGAGCCGTGATTACCAGGCACTATTAGATAACAACCAGCAGCATCCGAGCCTATCCTGAGCACGTAAAGCTTTTCCAAAACACCGGGAGCCTGAAACCGAGAAACTGCCTCGGAATGCCTTTTGGTACTAAATGAAGCCATCCATCGTATCAAGCAATTAACATGCCAGCCGCAGCAGCAGCTCTTTGCAGCCTGAGCTCCCGGTGCAAGATACCAGGCGCAAGGCAAGGCTGGCAGCGCCGGTACCTGCCCGGCCGTGCACGGGGGGCAAAGTCCAAATTGCAGCATTGCCACGTGTGAAGCCAAAGCATCTGACCCTGGGTAGAAGCTCCGGCTGCTGCAGCCGCACGCCCGGCAGCGTGCTCCTCCTCGGCTAGAGGAGCCGCGGAAAACAACAGTCCATCTCACTGTCTCCGAGAGGTGAGCAGGATTGCATCAGCTCCTGAAGGGTTTGACATGCCGTGCCTTGATTCGGAAACGTTAAGCTGCGCAGGGCAGCAGTTTTGTAACTGTGCTTCTCCTTGGCAGCCCTCATCCAAACTCCCCAAGGCCAGACTCGGATGCCGCCTCCCAGGAAAGGCTGCGCGAGGGACCCTTAACAAATCACAGCCGATTTCAAATGGACAGGAGTAAATCCTTCATCCCCTTCCCTTGCCAGACTTGCCCCCTCTAGCAGCCACCTCACCACCAATACACCCAGGCAAGGAAGGGGGACAAGAGACCCCCCCCACCACCACCCGGGGAGGGCATGGATGATGCCTGGTCCCTGGAGGCATGGATATGCTGCCTTCACACCGAGGGGATGCTCACCCCCCTCTTAACTCCTTTGTGCTTTGAATGGCTGCAATGGGCCTCCACTATGGGATTGGATATTTTGGCCAAATACTCCAAGCACTGCCGGGGAGAGTTGTGGCCAAACCAGTCTGTCCCAGTCCCCGAAGGGCCTCGACCCAGTCTGGGGCAGGAGACGATGCTCCTGACTTTTTCCTTCTGTGACTTTTTTTTCCCTCCACGCTCTTTATTTTGCTGTTGAAGAGTCTCAGTAATTTTCCTCAGACCCTGATATTGCTGATCCTATCTCGTGCCAGCCCTTGGTATGTATTTTATTTATTATTTTAGGATGACTGGACAGGCTTATCACAAAGTCCATAAATTACATCCCCACCGCACACAACCACTCCACATCAAACTGGCGATGAGCTTGTCTGAACCCCAAGTGCTGTGGGAGGGAATCAAGAATATTCTGGAAGAGATTTGGGCAGGTTAGCGTGACCCAGAGCATGCGCCAGGACGGCACAGCACGGCACCCACCCTCTCCCAGATCCCTGGATCCGGCCCCAGACAAGCCCCGTCGCTGGCAGCCCCGGGAACGGTGTGGGACCCCCAAGCAGAGCTCGCTCTGCCTGCAGCGGGGCTGCTGCCGCCGGCCAGGCTACGGGCTGGATGGGGG